AGAAAGTATACAGAACTTTTCCTTCACCTATATTTGCAATATCTTAGATATTGTGAGATCTTTCTATTCTAAAAACGGATGAAAACACCCAAAGGAAGATTGTACAATATTAGATAATAGTATATCATGGGAAATGATAATCCTCAGTGTCTTTGAGATATCGTTACGGATGAGTATGCTGAAGGTTTCTGCTCATGGCTACAAAGACCTAAGACACGTGTAAATTGTAACAGGTATGCCTTGTGAGATTGAAACTAGTAAGAATATGTTTCGTAATAATGACTTCAAAATAGACTGCTAATATCCATATTTCATCAATTTGTTGGTCAATAGTTTGCCTCATTTAGAATTTGTTCAGACGTATTCATATGTAGAGCATGCTCTTGCATATCGATCCTTATTAACCCAATATGCAGGTAATCAGGATATACTTGTAGGTTACTATTAACGTCCTTTTCACGTAGAATACCATATCCAAATATCTCACAGATGTGTCAGACTCTGTGGTATCTTTCATTTCAATCTCACTGGGATATATCGAGTCGACATATAAATGTAAGTTGCTATTGTTAATTGATACTTCGTCGTCGATTTCCCAAATGTCGAGTTGAGGGCCACAGCAAGTGTCTTCTGGTAAAAGTTTTTGAAAAAAATATGTTTCTTATGAATATAAAACAAGGTCTGAAAATAAAGGACCACATTTGGTATCAACTGAAATTCCACCATATAATAAGAAGACTTTTAGTAATAGTTGCATAAAAAGTTTTTTAAAAAATCATTTGTCTGTGATATCGAAAAGCCTGGACTTCAATTTATCGTAAGTAATAGTTACATAAAAAGTTAAAAGTATTCAAGATCGAAAATCCATTCAAAGAATAAATATCAGGAACAGCGCAAACATGGACCTCTTAAAAACTAGACATCGGATCAGATGCCATGGAGGAGTAAGCATCGGCCTCTTGTAATTGGTTTCGCTGTCTGTGTGCTCCTTGTCATAATCAGTTAGTGTGATAAATGTCAGTCAGCATTTGAGACGCATTTGAGACGCATTTGAGACGCTTACTCCTCCACGGCACCTGTCCCCACCTCTGAAGTGTTTACAAGGAATTAACCAAAGTATTTGTCAATACGAGGGCCGTTCAAAAAGTACGCGGACTTGTTGCACAGAAAAAATATTTGACGGCATAATCGGGCAAAATTTCACACATAATTAAAAGAATCTTTACTTATATGGTCTTCAAAATTTCATATCAAAATGTTGTAAATTGATATCAATTTTGAGTGATTTTTCAGGACGTATCATTAAGTCACGGAGCAGCAAAATCTTCGACGTCACAGGCATTATAAAAAAAAATATGTTTTTGAGCTTTCATTTTCTCAACATTTTCCCAAGAGTACTTGTACAGTTTGAGTTACCTTATCTACTCAACATCCAAACACCATTTCTTGTCAAGCTTAAAATATATTAAACAAGTAAAGAATATTCTTTTTTTTGTTTTAAAACCAAAAACTGCAGGTATTTATGAGATATAGTGTGTTCTCCCGTATAGCCTTTTTACAGAGGTCTAACGGTCTAAACTTCAATTTGCTTTTTGTGGACGAATGTCACGAATACCCTAGTTTACTACATGTTTTATTATGCATATTTTGGATCTATGTTGGCGATATCTCGAGCATTACACATAATTTAACAAAAGTGTGGTGCGCCGTCAATTCAGGAGACCTCATTTTCACAGTCGTTTTCACGGGAATCGCATCAGAGAAAAATCACTATATTTCTGTTAGTTATTTAAATATCACGCTAGAAATCTAAATGCGTAATAATAGAACAATTCATAGATATATTTGAGAAAATTGTCGAAAAATATCGCAAATTATAGAAAATTAATGAGTTAAATTTTGGATTCCGCATGCTTTTGCTTCAAATTTTTTGCCGTGCTCCGTATCTCTCCATCAGCGACATCAACATACATGTACCTATAATTTTAGTAGAATGTTTTTGAAATACAGAAATTTTGCCCAAAATTTATTGGAATCTTTAAGATACATATTTCTGTGAATTTCTTAACTTTATGACGTCTGTAAGAGTAAATAATAGCAAAGTCCGCGTAATTTTTGAGCGGCCCTCGTATATACGTTTTATTAGCTCACCTGAGCCGAAGGCTCAAGTGAGCTTTTCTGATCACATTTTGTCCGGCGTCCGTCTGTCTGTCCGTCTGTCCGTCTGTCTGTAAACTTTTCACATTTTCGACTTCTTCTCAAGAACCACTGGGCCAATTTCAACCAAACTTGGCACAAAGCATCCTTGGGTGAAGGGGATTCAATTTTGTTCAAGTTAAGGGCCACGCCCTTTTCCAAGGGGAGATAATCATGAATTTGTTAAAAATTAATGGCATTTTTAAAAAATCTTCTTCTCCAGAACCGCTGGGCCAGGAAAGATAAAACTCAGGTGGAATCATCCTCAGGTAGTGTAGATTCAAGTTTGTTCAAATCATGACCCCCGGGGCAAGGGTGGGGCCAAAATGGCCGACCCAAGTTTTACATAGGAATATATAGGAAAAATCTTTAAAAATCTTCTTCTCCAGAACCACTGGGCCAGGAAAGATGAAACTCATGTGGAATCATCCTCAGGTAGTGCAGATTCAAGTTTGTTCAAATCATGACCCCCGGGGCAAGGGTGGGGCCAAAATGGCCGATCCTAGTTTTACATTGGAATATATAGGAAAAATCTTTAAAAATCTTCTTCTCCAGAACCACTGGGCCAGGAAAGATGAAACTCATGTGGAATCATCCTCAGGTAGTGCAGATTCAAATTTGTTCAAATCATGACCCCCGGGGCTAGGGTGGGGCCAAAATGGCCGACCCAAGTTTTACATAGGAATATATAGGAAAAATCTTTTAAAATCCTCTTCTCCAGAACCACTGGGCCAGGAAAGATGAAACTCATGTGGAATCATCCTCAGGTAGTGTAGATTCAAGTTTGTTCAAATCATGACCCCCGGGGCTAGGGTGGGGCCAAAATGGCCGACCCAAGTTTTACATAGGAATTTATAGGAAAAATCTTTAAAAATCATCATCTCCAGAACCACTGGGCCAGGAAGGATGATACTCAGGTGGAATCATCCTCAGGTAGTGCAGATTCAAGTTTGTTCAAATCATGACCCCCGGGGCTAGGGTGGGGCCAAAATGGCCGACCCAAGTTTTACATAGGAATATATAGGAAAAATCTTTAAAAATCCTCTTCTCCAGAACCACTGGGCCAGAAAAGATGAAACTCATGTGGAATCATCCTCAGGTAGTGCAGATTCAAGTTTGTTCAAATCATGACCCCCGGGGCTAGGGTGGGGCCAAAATGGCCGACCCAAGTTTTACATAAGGATATATAGGGATACCTTTTAAAATCTTTTTTTCAAGTACTTCAAAGCTATGATTAGTGATATTTATATGGAATCATCCTCAGGTAGTGTAGATTCTAGTTTGTTCAAATGATGACCGCCTGGGGGGGCGGGGGGAGTAAATTCAAGCCTGATGTGCTCAGGTGAGCGCTGTGGCCCCTGGGCCTCTTGTTATTTTAGGTTAGAGATTGCTGGTTTGAACTTGAAAAAAGATATTCCTAATTCTTAACTGATTTCAATTAATAATCCTTCACATCCGAGACTGGTTGTTAAGTTGTTGTAGCTTACTTTAAACGTCTTGTAAATTACATATATTCATAATAATTCAGATTTCGACCGCTTACTCTCTGACATTCATTTCTTGTTTCAGAAAGTTTTAAGGACCTAAGAAGACTTTTATTGCTTTTATTTCTTTGGCACTATGTATAACATTAAACTCAAATGGAATCAGAATTAAAATCTTACTAACGTCAATTTTTCATATACATGTAAACAGCTTCAGGAACAGACGATAATTGGTGTCCTGACTTTCAAAGTTGTTGGAATTGAGTTTGATGAAAATTACAAGTTACAACCGGGGCACGGAGATGTAATCAACTGGTTTGGATATGGTTTATACACACCAGAGACGGGAAAAATAGTACAGAAGTGACATTTCACAATAGATTCTAATAGAAAAGTCGTTATTAAATTGTGTGAGATTCAATTATAGTTTTTCCTATATTCCGTAATTACTAAATAGTTAAAGCATGTAAGAAGTAGAGAACTGCTTGTTAAACGCAGACATTGGGGAAAGTTATGGGCCACGAATGACGTTAAACAATGGTATTCTCTGCTGCCTACAATGTAACGTGATCTTTTAAATAAATTTCGACTGAATCTTTAATCAGATACAAATAAATATTTATAGTAAAGTGAATTTAAATGAGTCTCTCAGTCAAGATTTTTTTTTCACCCTAAAAAATAATTGGATGCTAAAGAGTTACTTGTTATGGACATGGGTGAGAATTTAAGAAGTGATCATGATGTTCTAAGAAACGTACATTACGCTTGCTTTCTTGCGCCGATGTACACTTATATGCATTCTTTATTTTTCAACCATTTTCTTACTAAAACGTGATATCATCATGAAATTTGTAATGCATGATCATAAAATGTTGCTTTTGACTATGACAAGAAAAGAAACTATATTGAGCAAACAGAAACTTAACTGTACTGCCTGTCTACGACTTTTTGGGACAACCCTCGTAAGTCTACATTATACACATTTTTGACACTTCCTGTACAGCTGTATAATAAGTTCTCTCTCTGTTTATTCATACTTAATTGCATAATAAAAACTAATAAACTTGTAAATCATTTATTTACTCTGTGTGAATAAAATTCCAAAGAGTAGAAAGCTAAGCATTTAGAAATTTAAATCATTACTTATCGTTTTCTACTGCATTCTAAAGCATTAGTAGCACATGTTACCTGTGCAGAATATGAGCATGGAATACATGTAGGATACTTGTACTGTCAGGCATGTTATCACAGATTTAAAAATTATGTCATTTGAAAATTATCATAGCATTAGCTACAAAGCAATTTTCAAAACAGCTTACATCTGCCGCAGGGGGAAGGAGCTATAAAAACATTTATTTGCAACGATTTCACATGTTTCAGTGAGAAACAGCAGAAACACACCTCTAATTACTACTGCCTTAGGAATCATTGGTATGTACATATACGTTTTAAAAATAATAAAAAGATGGCAAATATAATCTAACATTCTTTTCATTTTCATCAATTCACTGTTTTTATCCTCCTTAAATACGCTTATGTTGTGCTATGCATATGTTAGTATTCAATATGTTTATATGAATTCTTTATTAAATGCTGGCAATTACTCATTATAATAATCATATCATTTTTAATTTTCGTGTAACTGTCCATTGATTTTTTGGTTTCAGCAAATTAACTTAATTATTCTGATATCAGTATTTTCAATCACAGATCTAAATCCAAACCTTCAAGATGAAATCACTCCTTTTAATTGTGTTGTGCGTGGTCTTAATAGGTATGTACTGTATAATTTTGATTAAATAATCTTGATAAAATATATATATTTTTCTTTAAACTTCTAGAATCGGAAAATAAGATACATATTTTATCGTACAAAAGAGCCTGTTTACCTAAAATATACATGAAATATATGGAGATAACGAACCGTATCTAAGCTCAAAAGTCCATTAAACAATACAAAACTGGAGCAGAGCAAACACTTACTTCCAAAAAATCAGAGGTGGCATCAGGTGACATGGAGGTGTGAACATCCCTTGCCGAAATAACACTCCTTTCAAACATTTATTATAGTTTATTATTGTTAACTGAAATTAGCTACAGTAAATTAATTAACTGAGGAACTAAAATCGAGATCTTCTTCAAAGTAAGTTCCCAACATGTATTTCAAAACTTTTCATTCCAATTATCTTAAGTGCAAATAATTAGTGAATATACGATTAAAATATCCTAGCTTTTAAGATAAAAAAAAGTATCTTGGTAAGTATCTTGCATTTTGACTGAAATAATTCCCATGTCTACGGAATGTTATCTTGAATGTTTACAATAATAAGTCTCATTAATACTGGTATTTTTAGGTAAAGGTATTCACATTTAAATCATATTTTCTTATAAGTTTGGAAAGTTGCACGTCAACATAAGTATTGTTGATATTGATAAAAATATGTCGCATATCTATATAATCATGCTGCATGCTGACAGAATTTTATAAAGACATTTTCATATTCATAAAGACATTGTTTATATATTGATAAATCTAGATAATTGTGTTTATTCAATGTTCTCTGTTTACTTCACTCTAGAGACCTCTAGAAACTCTTGGAAACAAAAAAAAAATAGTTGAAAAATAAAGGTTCGCTCGAGATTTTAATGGAGTAGTAATTAATTGACAAGTTTACGTTAACTCCAGTCATTTCAGGTCATTTCTGTGTCTGGTCAGTCATGGTCAATCTAGCGTATAGATTGGCCGAAGTGGGGTCAATAGAGCGGAACAAAAAAGGTCAATAGTCTACATCAGACCCTGACTGAGGTCTCAAGATTGGAGTCAACATAGCGTAACGAAAAACGTGTATAGCCTACGTCAGACCCTGAAAAAGGTCCCTAGATGAAGTGCGAAATGTTACATCTTTTACTACCACTAACAAAACAGTTGTAGACCAGGTTTCGGCCAACACAACATTTGTTCATTGTGGCCGAGGGCAACATTTCCACATCCAGGTCCAACAAATCATATGTTGCCCTTATACCTAGTCAATAACTTTATAATATATGATTTTCTTTTCTAGCCTCTGTACAAGTTGTCACGGCTGGACATGGTTGTTACTGTATATATGACAATGACAAGAAGTGCAGTGATTACTGTCAGAGCGAATTCGGTTGTAGAGGGGGATATTGTGGGTCGGACTGGTGTGTTTGCAAGTGTGTCGGTTGTAAAAAGTAACTGGACAGGTAAAACACTAATGGTAAAAATAACTGATTTTGTTTTCCTCTATGATGCTTTATCATGTATATAAAAATAAAATTGAAAAAAAGTTTAAAATGTTTTATATGATATTCTCCATTCTGAGAAAAGATTTCGAGATATAAATATTTATAAAGCAAGCTTCTTCTGTTTCAGGAAAAGGGTGAAAAGACTACATGACATATGCCAATTAACTATTATTAAACTATTAAAGCATCAGTTCTTTGTTCATAACTTAATTTTTATTAATTATATATTCCCGAAACACAAATTATAAAGCATATTCATTCGCAAAGTCATCAAAATAAGCGGTAGTATTATTACCTTTATCATAATTAACGTACAAGTTTTAATTTTTCACAGTTGAAAAGTTTTAATAAAGATCTCCCAATAACAGATAACCGCATAAAATTTCCTATTGTCCTTACAAATTAAGTATCTATACACTGAGCAGAAAACTATAAATGATCACTGTCAAGACGATGAAAATGAGAGCGTATGAGAAAACTATTTTTCCATAAAGTACAGAAGGAACAATCTTAAAGATATTTTAAGGTCAGACGATACGCTCCTCAAAAATATATAATTTTTCCTAGGAATTTGTCATTGGAGAATACGTACTTAAACAAGATTCCTCGCAAAAAAGGGTACCTTACCAGGCAATTGGAGAATATACCACAGGGTCACATTTCTTATATAACCCTTATGGGTAATCTTTTGAATGGTCTATTTCACATTTTTTGGTGTAGTTATATTCAAAACATTTTGAAAACATAGAAATCAGAAGGGAATGACATATATGAATATTTTTTTTATATAATACCAAGAGATACAAAACATGTTTTTGAGGAACTTGTCGTCTGACCTCAATATATATATATATATATATATATATATATATATATATATATATATATATATATATATATATATATATATATATATATATATATATATCTTCAACTCTGTATAGTTTTCAGATGGCTTCAGTAATTCAAAATTGACAAAAGAAGTTCAAAAATATAACAGTGAAACTGATCGATTGAACTTGGTGGTGATACCACAAAATTTCGATGTTTTGTGCTACTTGATATCTGAAAATGTTCGATTTATATGGAACGCCGTAACTGCCTTATGTGGAGAACTTTCATTATATGATGGTATTTTGTCATTATATGATGGTATTTTGTCATTATATGATGGTATTTTGTCATTATATGATGGTATTTTGTCATTATATGATGGTATTTTATCTTTATATGATGGTATTTTGTCATTGTATGATGGTATTTTGTCATTATATGATGGTATTTCGTCATTATATGATGCTATTTTGTCATTATATGATGGTATTTTATCATTATATGATGGTATTTTATCATTATATGATTGTATTTTATCATTATATGATGGTATTTTGTCTTTATATGATGGTACTTTGTCATTATATGATGGTATTTTATCGTTATATGATGGTATTTTGTCTTTATATGATGGTATTTTGTCATTATATGATGGTATTTTATCATTATATGATGGTATTTTGTCTTTATATGATGGTATTTTGTCATTATATGATAGTATTTTATCATTATATGATGGTATTTCATCATTATATGATGGTATTTTGTCATTATATGCTACTACTTTTCTTCTTTATACTACTTTTCTTCTTTATACTACTTTTCTTCTTTATACTACTTTTCATTATATGCTACTACTTTTTTGTCATAATTTGAACTCTCGATCATCCAGAGGCTTGTCTCTATAGCACTTATTTATGGAATCCGGATAGGGCCACGCAGTTCACTATCGCATCATCGCACCATCGAGATTTGAGTCGATGGAACGATGACGCGATAGTGCGATGACGATGAAGCGATGGTGCGATAACGATGAAGCGATGGTGCGATGACGATGATGCGACGGTGCGATAATCCGATGGCGATGATGCGATGGTACGATGAAGCGATAATGCGATGCCACGATAGCGATGCTGCGATGGTGCGATAGACACGATATAGCATCGCATCATCACTATCGCCATCGCATCATCGCTATCGCACCATCGCAGCATCGCTATCGTGGCATCGCGTCACCACATTATCGCTTCATCGTACCATTGCATCATCGCCATCGCATTATCGCACCATCGCATCATTGTCATCGCACTATCGCACCATCGCTTCATCGTTATCGCACCATCGCTTCATCGTCATCGCACTGTCGCGTCATCGTACTATCGACTCAAATCTCGATGGTGCGATGATGCGATAGTGAACTGCTATGGAATCCGGATAGGGCCACGCAGTTCACTATCGCATCATCGCACCATCGAGGTTTGAGTCGATAGTGCGAGAAGCGATAATGCGATGACGATGGTGCGATAACGATGAAGCGATAGTGCGATGACAATGATGCGATGGTGCGATAATGCGATGGCGATGATGCAATGGTACGATGAAGCGATAATGCGATAGCACGATAGCGATGCTGCAATGGTGCGATAGCGATGCTGCGATGGCGCAATAGTGATGATGCGATGCTATATCGTGTCTATCGCACCATCGCAGCATCGCTATCGCATCATCGTCATCGCACTATCGCATCATCGTCATCGCACTATTGCACCATCGCTTAATCGTTATCGCACCATCACTTCATCGTCATCGCACTATCGCGTCATTGCACCATCGACTTAAACCTCGATGGTGCGATGATGCGATAGTGAACTGCGTGGCCCTATCCGGATTCCATACGTGGCCCTATCCCATGGAATCCGGATGGGGCGATAGTGCGATGACGATGATGCGATGGCGCGATAGTGCGATGACGATGATGCGATGGTACGATGAAGCGATAATGCGATGACGCGATAGCACGATAGCGATGCTGCAATGGTGCGATAGCGATGATGCGATGGCGCGATGGTGATGATGTGATGCTATATCGTGTCCATCGCAGCATCGCAGCATCGCAGCATCGCTATTGTACCATCGCGTCATCGCACTATCGCGCCATCACATCATCGTCATCGCACTATCGCACCATCGCTTCATCGTTATCGCACCATCGCTTCATCGTCATCGCACCATCGACTTAAACCTTGATGGTGCGATGATGCGATAGTAAACTGCGTGGCCCTATCCGGATTCCATACTATCCGGATTCCATAAATAAGTATGGAATCCGGATAGGGCCACGCAGCGGCCCTATCCGGATTCCATAAATAAGTGCTATAGAGACAAGCCTCTGGATGATCGAGATAATGCGGTGACGCGATGCCACGATAGCGATGCTGCGATGGTTCGATAGCGATGATGCGATGGCGCGATAGCGATGATGCGATGCTATATCGTGTCTATCGCACCATCGCAGCATCGCTATCGTGGCATCGCATTATCGCTTCATCGTACCATCACCATCGCATTATCGCACCGTCGCATCATCGTCATCGCACCATCGCTTCATCGTTATCGCACCATCGCTTCATCGTCATCGCACCATCGCGTCATCGTACCATCGACTCAAATCTC